TGACTTTTTGGTCGAGGACCGCCCTTAAATGTAAATGGTAAATGTTATGATAGGTTAAAATGTCTAAACCAGGGAGTTCTGATTTTATAAAACTTTCTAAATGCTACAGTATTTTTATCCTGCTGTGATTGTGGCTTACAGTAGGAACTAAAAACTCTTGTTATGCATAGCAAAAGATTCCCACTCTCCACAGGTATGACTATGAAGGAGTTATTACTCATGCTGCAATGCATAGAGTTATAAAAAGTAAAGGATAAAATCCATATTCTATTCTTCTAACACGGTGCCACGACAGCTTGACCCTGAGCACTTCAGCGATAAAAGCCGCCGCTGACTCTTGGCCGGCCTTCTTCGCTTGCTGCGTCACAAATGTCCGCGTGGCAGGCCAATCAAGAAAATGGAGTGTGTTAATGGAGATGGAGATTCTGCCCCCCATACACTCACACACACATGTACGTGTGCTGCCCCTCATCATCTCACCTTCTAACATATTGTTTTAGCAAACGTAACTGCTGTCAGCGAGGGAGGGATGGATGGTGTCTTACAGTTAATAGGCTCTAAATCATAGCAGCGTGCACGGACGGCCAATCAGCTGTCACCTAAGACCTCTGCTCAAGGTTACCATTGTGACTGTGGACGGAATGAATTTTCTCTCGCTTATACTTTCTGTCTTGCAGGGACAGTTAATACCTTCTGCTGCTTTCTCTTCACTTCTGTTCCTCTGCCATCTAAATCTCTTTCTCCTGTTAAACTGTTAACACACACACACACACACACACACACACACACACACACACACCACTTCAGAGTCTCCCTCATTCTGCATTTTTCTGTTAAATCCTCCACTTTACCTTTTCTGTCCACCTCCTTCTGTCCTCCCTTTCTGTCACCCACTCTTCATTCACCCTCTCCCCAGCCGTCGCATCTCCCCTTTTCTGTCTCCCACTACAGTACAGGTCTATCTGTGTTCAAAATCCACTGCTTCTCTTTACCTGTGCTGCTATCTTTTCTTCCATTTACTTCACATTTTCTCAATTTTTCTCTCTCCCTCTCAAAGCCAGTCACCGTTTTTAATTAGCCTCCATTCATTTAGTGAAGGACACATGCACTTTCATAGGTGGCCAACGATTGTATCCCCGCTTCATTTATCCAGGAAGCTTCTGAATAGATGGAGGCAGCAAGTATTGATGAAACCGTGAAAGGAGGAAGACCAAGGAAATGTGAATGCCACAGTTGTAGGCAGGTGCTAAGCTCTTAGTGTGCAGGGTGGTGGGCGGCGCTCTACCCAAGGACATGCAAGCTGAGTGAATGCCAATGCAGATCTATTGAAATTCAATATCAAGTGCTCTTCGCAAAGGCATCTGGCACAGAACATATTCGGGGTGAATGTCCTCTTGTGCTCTCACAGGCACTGAATACAGTGAATGAATAATAAATTGATAACGCCATGGACTGTGTCGCTTGTCTTTCAAAAAGTGCTGATATTTAACCTGCGCTATCAACAGAAACAAGGAGCATAAAAACACGGCCGAGTTTGTTCAGCTCGACTTGGATTTACATCGAGTTGCATTCAGTTGCATCACATTATCAAGATTATTTTGTTTACCCTAGCAGTGTTGTGCATCTTGTGTCTGATGGTTTGGCATGCAGTTAGACCCCAGGAATAGCTGTTGCTAGGGCAACAAGCTAATATGGATCCAAATATGGAATCATGAGAGTGAGAAGGAAAAACAAAAGACAATCTAATAAATGATATTCTTAAAGCCGCACTAAGCAAGCTTTAATTACTACGGGAAAGGAAGCCTCTGAAACAAAAACACAGGCCTGGATATTCTGTGGGTTCATCTAGTTGCACATTTCAGATCAAAGTTTTGGATTAAGAACTGGGAAGTCATCAGCGTCACCAGCTCGTCCCACCGTTATTGCTGATGCCCAGCAAAAGTTAGATGGAATGAGAACGTTGCAATGCCCTTGTATACCATTAGCTTTTCAGTTGAGTTGGTACGTAATGATAAAGTTTTAGATAGCTTGTCGCTTGTTCCTCAATGTAACACTATGAATCCTGAGATAGGTTGTGTCATGGAAGGATCCACCTGTTTGAGCGTTCATTTTTTAGGGCTGGAAGTAAGCATTTGTCAGCTGCATTTGAACAAGCCTTTGAAATGGGATAGGGTAGTCATACTGCTATGACGCAATCGGTCTTCCAGTGCAGCCTCCGAAGGATGCAGCCCCTGAATTGAGACACAGCTATGGACAAAAACCTAAACTTTAGGCATCACAACAAACTAAATGTGACATAAAGAAAGTACATCAGTAAAAACAATTGATGATATGTATTATAATAAGAAATTGTGAAATAAAAGCATAATGTAAATGCTTGGGTGGTTATAGTATCCATGATAATGTAGGATGGTTGGACTCTGCCTCAGGATGTGGCTAAGCATGCGTAAAGCTGAAGAGCTGGTTCTTAATTCTCAGTGGCACTAATGTCCCTCTCAAATTACACAATCAGTGTCTATTGTGACTCTACCGACCCGCACTGGTGTTTTCAGTCATTCTGGCAGATTAGACCTGTGGTTGACGTGGGAATGCTGGGACTAATGTGTCACTGCTGAATGTACAAATTAGAATGATAACATAAGATAAACTTATTTGTCACAAGGAAATTGAGGAATAAAACACTGGAACCAGCCACTTGGTCGAAAAAGGACTCAAGTTGTTTGTCACCTGTGTAGGTTTATGTATAAGCATTATTTAAGCAGGAAATATCATTAAATCAGGAACTCGTTTGCACAAGAGATCTGAGCACAACAGAGGGAATAAAAACAAACACAGCCAGACTTAATTCTTTTATACAGCATCAAAGACTCTGCTAAATGGAATTTAAATAGATTAAAAGATAAAAGTTTAAAATAACCACTAGGATGAAACATTCAAGTCTTAAAATCTCTGCAATTCTTCCCATTATGTGGTTCAAAGTAGAGGGAGGCAGTCTTCCTCAATTCAGTATTTACCTTTAAAAGTACGTAGAGTTAAACAGGCCTGAGATCTGGTCTGGTGAGCAGTGCTTTCAAATTTGAGAGAGGAAGTGATATTCTGTGACAGCGTTCGGAGGCCATGTTATGAATAGAAATGAAGGAATGTGGTTTTCTTTTAGCTTGTTGCTAGTGAGGTCCAGTCTATGTTTTCACACCATTGATATTTATCTCCAGTAAGTGGAGCTCAATGAATATGCATCAAGTGCTTTTAGGGTAAAGCATGCAGCATATGTAAAAGAAAGACAGAAACCATTTTTGAGAAAAAGATTATCTAACATGTACTCTGACCTAATAGATTGCTCCATGTTCAGTCTGCTAACATGGAGGAGACAGGGTTTGTGACCTATACTTCAGCCAGCCACCAGGAGTTGATCAATATATTTCCGCTTCACGTTTCAGGATCTGTCATGCTGTCCATCTTTATATACAGTCCCTGGTAGATATGTACAGACTTGACTGCCATGTACTTCACTGTGCTGTTGCACATGTTAACATGAGACAGCACAAACCTTCGTGAGTGTTATTTGTAATTTAAGTGTAGTGACCTGACTTAAACCCAAGTGCAAGATTAACCATGTTCATATTTGTGTCATAATTCTGTCTCCTCAGTGTCTGTTTACAGCACTTAAAATTCAAAGTATAAAATAAAGTGCAGAGATAAACTGAATGACAAGTAGTAGTCTGGAGCAAAGCAGCTAAGCCACTATGTGGAGTGCTTTACTTTAAATAGATTGAAAATCGAGTGGTGCAACCTTTAAGTGCTTCAGTGCCCACCTCTCATGGACCTGCATTTTCGATCTTCCACTGATAAAGACAAATGGTCCTTTCTCAATGGCTGCACAGGAGCCTTTAGGAACCTTTTGTAGTGAGAGCCAACTAAGACAAACAAGGTGGTTCCCAGCATAGAGCAGACACCTAAGATATGGCTCAGTGTAATAGTGGGAGATGTCACAGTCTGAATAGATGCTTCCTCCTCAATAAAACTCAAGCCTGTCCTGTCAGTTATCTCAGCAAGTGGCTCAGAATAACTAATGTTAGATTAGATTCAACGTTATTATCATTGAGCAGAATATAAGTGCAGAGACAATCAAACCAGAGATTATGCTAAATGAATGAATACACTGAGACATATACAGTGTGTACATATGCAGCTGTTACAGTAAGCTATTGCAGGTATAAGTGTAGGTGTGTAAGTATGCAGTGTGGGTGCTTCTCTCTATAGAACTATAGGAAGCATCATATAAAATACTTACATACATACCATATAAACACAAACAAACTCATTAGAGTGCATACCTCCACCAAGGCCCAACAGTCCTCTTAAAAAAACACAGTTAAATTCATTAGATCTAGATTTTTATTTGGATCAACACAAAATTAACACACTCAAATCTCCTCAACATGTCAGATCCACAAATCAAAGAGGCAGAGGTAATTAAATGATAAACTAAGACATATACAGCATGTGCAGTTGTTACCTGCGATTGCAGGTATAGAAACAGGCGTATAAGACTGCTGTGTGGGTGCTTCGCTCCATAGAACTAGGAAGCATACAAATGAAAATGTTCACAATAAATAATGCAACATGGCCATTTACAACTCATTTCAAGAGGGAAAACTGATGTTGCTGCTGGTGCTGTTGAATGTCCCTCATCTAAAGAGTTTTTTATATATATACAGCAAGGATGCTTGAACTCAAGGTCTGAAGCTCCATGCTAAATATTAATTTAAAAAACGGATTATTATTATCTACTAACAAATGCTTTTTTAATGTGAAGGTCAATTCATCTCTGTGACATAATTGACTTTATATTGATGTTTTAATGAAAAACAAAACAAACGGGTACATTTCCAGATTAATCTGCAGGTAATGTCGCCAGACAGAATATACAGTGTGACAACAAACCACATCTAACTCAGCTTTGTTGTCCTCCTCTCTCCTTCTCCCTCCTTTCTCCTCAGATATTGATGAGTGCGCTGAAGGGAAGCACTACTGCAGGGAGAACACCATGTGTGTTAATACCCCCGGCTCCTTCATGTGCATCTGCCATACTGGTTACATCAGGATTGATGACTATTCCTGCACAGGTGAGCTCCTCTGCTGCCCTTTCTGACAGGCTGGAATCAAGTGGACAAGGTGCTGGAGGAGGAGGCTCCATGAGCTTTCTAACAGACCTGAAGTCGTACAAATGAAGATTATACTTTGTCATTGCATGGTCTGGAGATTCATTTGGATGTCTCTCCAGTTATCTACTAAATGAGCTTTAAAAGAGAAGAATTTCATTTCACTACGGAAAGTTATTGCTGGTTAGAAATATTATAATTTGCATTTGTAGTCAGACACCGGAGGATGATGTTTGATTTGATGAGAATAAATTGTGCAGCCAAGAGGTGCACAGACTTCCAGAGAAAAGAAAGCAGCAGCCCCACATTCAGATATAAATATAGGGAGTTATTAGAGTTGGTGTGTTGAGAACAGTGTATATAACAGGGCCAATATAAGCCTGCTGCAGAAATCCCATGTTGTTTACTGCACATCGACATCAACACATGCTCTACATGTATGACGAATCTCTTTCAGCCTAAAATATCTATATTCCCTTTGGTTTTTTTCAATTTCACATCCATCGCATGTGACAAACGTCATCACCACGCCCACCTGCTCTATTCTCACATGGGCTCGAAAGGTCCTGGAAAATGTCAAAAGCAGCTTACCCAGACAAATATAGCCCCTCCAGAAAAACAATCTGAAACATGTCTGGAGTTAATGTCTGAAAGCAACATCCATGCTCGCATTCACACCTATGGGCAATTTGCGGGTGTCCAATTCCCCCAAGCTTTGGACAGTGGGAGGAAACACTGAAATAGGAAATCAAGTTATGAAGGAGGGAGACATAGTCATCAAGCAACACCTGTAAAACCCACTGAAAACCTGAACCACGTGTTACACCGCCTCCCTCTCAGACGGAGCCTGGTTAGACACACTTGTCTGTGAATGTATAACCCTGCAATTATGTCTGTTCATTGAATATGCTCAGAGATGAATGTCAGAGTTTGATTTGCTCCCATTGGTTTTGCTCTGATTACTAGCGTCACATTAAGACACACACGCACACGCAAACTCAAATCAATATCGGCCTATAATTTGGCACAAGCTGGTTGAGAAAAGACTGAATATGAGAAAAGGTTGATTGAGTTGCTTTGTGTAGATTATAAAGCGTATCTGTCTTTCATTCCTGCTTTGATTCAACTTTTTGTCAGACTCCACAATTACATGTATTTATTCTATAAAAAGCATCGATAGAAATCTCTAAACTCTGTTATACTTTGGCGCAGGTCAGATGTTTTTTGACATATTTGAGTATTTTAAAAGTGCCTGTTTCATTGACAAACAACACTCTGTCCTGTTTGCGTGTGTGAATGTGTACAGTCTTTATCTGGTGTGTGAATTCACCCTGTGTGATAAGAAAGTCCCTGAGAAACTGAGACTGTGAGTGGAGGCAGCAGATCCATTTGTTCCTGATCAAAGTTGAAATCAAAGTGAATTTCCAGGGTTTTTCCAGGCCGAAAATTAGGCGGGGGTGGTGCTGAGCCTTCAGAACGGGGGTAGGGGGGGGCATGCACAGCTCCACCAAGTCTGTTTACTGTAATCATTTTGGGGTGTTTCATACATGTTTGGACCGCAAATAAGTTATTTTTAAATTTCAGTAATTTCCTGCTCTAATCTGTGTCTCTATCATTCGCGCTGCACACTGCCAACCGAATCGAGCCAAACTGAGTATCCCTCGCCATCTCATCCAGCTCTCCGTACATTGTCTAAGTTCACAAGTTCTGTTGTTTGCACCCAGCCTGAGTTTACACATATGTCCAATGACCCTTAGGTTGTTTGTAAGTGTGTCTGGTGGTTTGATTATCTGAGAGAGAGAGAGAGAGAGAAAGCAGTGGAGTAAATTTGTTTGTTTGTGTGTGTATGCGCTGTATCTTTCTCTTAAGTTCCAGGACAATCATACAGAAGCTATGCAATTCTTATCGACCTTTACATGTGATCACTTTAAGTGGTTTCCACTGTGATAGAATTTTGTCGGGAGGTGGCATGAAATTTGACAGAGGCGGCGGCCGCGCAATTCTCTATGCAGGAAAACCCCTGATTTCAAAAGCAAGACATATCAATCTGGAAAGATTCACATGGCTGACTCACAGTCTTGCTCTCTGTCTGGGTTGAAGTGATTGCCGTCGTAGCCCCACATGTTCATAACCCAACTTCCACAATAGTTAATCAGTAGATGAGACAAACTCAAATACGTATAAGAGAAATGGACATATGGTAAAGTATTGTGACTGATTGGACTGTGTTCTATTTTGCCTCAACAAAGTGTACAAGCAGAATGAGCCTTATCTTGTGTAAGGCTGAGCTAAAACTGCAGTAGGAACATAAAAGATGAGTTTTAAACAAATCATATGATTTTACAAGGAATAAGCCCATTTCCCAAAATAGGCTACAAGCTGGTTGACTTCTCTAAACACACCACATGATAATTGTTTTTTAATAAAAAATTGGATATATAGGAGAGATGAGCATCCTGCAGGGGAAACTTTGGCTGGCAGTGCATATTGGATATTAAGTCAATGAAACAGTCGAGGACACTTTGAGTCTATAATTCAAAACAGATGATAGATGGTTTTTAAATCATTATTTGGGATATTTATCAGAGATTACAGGAAATAAGTAGGAGGGAGTTGCAAAAAGCATCCCTGCCTGGATTGGAAACATGAATATTTGTGGCTCGTACTCTGCATCATACAATAAAGTCAACATATCTTACAATTTGTGGTAACTTTTAAGGTTCTGAATTTAATACTTGGGACTTTTAAGCTCAAAAGAAATTCTTGCTCACCAGAGTCTTATCGAAATGTGCTTTGGATCAAAATCAGGCTTGAAAGAGAAAGAAATCTCACACTCATGAGACCCTTTGTGCTCACTTTAATTACATTTCAGTCCTCATATGTTCATATGGTAGAATTTACACAGGGATGAGTTTCACCTGTTGAACTTGGACAGTGTGGGATTTCTTGGCTTTCTCACAGTCAAAGCTTAAAAAAATATTTAAGCACAACAGAAATATTGACTGAGTTTCCTGTATGTGGGGATGTCATGTATATACTGAGTCATTTGATTGATGGATCATTTTTTTCTATACAATCCAAACCCATTGTTATCCTGCAGGAGCTATCTTATATTTGCAAAGGACTTTAATGAGAAGAAACAGAAAGTAGGCTGTATAAAATCAGATACCAGGATTTACCGGATGAAGGGAGTTTCAATGTGATTTCATGTCAAGAGTGAAGAACTGAAAGTCTTTATTAGGACTCTTGATGTGTTTTTTTTAATCAATTATTAGTTTGTTATCCTGCCGAATGAAGAACCCTACATACAATAGCAGGGGAAAAGTCTGAGCCAGTTATCGTCATCTTCGTATAGAATAACACAATGTCACACCACAGTGGCAGATTAGCCTCATTCATCACCAGTTGTTTGCAGTGTGTGAAACATGACGCTAAGTAGCTCCCTGTGTGCATCATCTTTGACGAGGAGGCAGCATGCTGCATTTCCTCCATGTCTGTAATTAAAAAAGCAATTTGCACCGATGCAAACTAACTCAGTGGCAGCGGAATGAAGAGGGTGGCCGCCGCCTGTGCTGGAGGATTTAGGCCCGCAGCCTTCATGCGGTGCCGACAGAGTTTAGATTAGAGCCGTAAGACTCGCCAAACAACAAACGCCTGGTAAAGACGCCCATTTCCTGCTCCATCGTGCCCCCCTGTAGAGTTTTTCTTCCCCCTTGTCAATGGAAATCAGGAAATGATAGAGCAAAGTTAAGGATTCATGACTTTGTGTCTTTTTATGGAGAAGCTTCTGGAAGGCATAAAGACTTAGATTTGACATTGAGGAATCGATTTTAAGGGAGAAACAAATTCATCTCTTCTCTTGTGCCCTTGTGATTTATTTAGTGAGAGACACCTCCTTGCTTACTCAGTCCCTTTCTTTATTATCTTTAGACAACCACTGTACCTTGTGTTATTTCACTCACATGCACGTTTTCTCTAATCTTCTGAGCTGCGGGGCAAGTTTTATTGTTTTACTCGTTTGTCTTTCCTCCACTGTGCTCATTCCCCACATTCACAATGAAGATTAATACCTCCAGACCCAGTGGATTAAACTGTGTCACTATATTTTATGTCGTTTCCTATTAAAAAGCCTTCAAGCCACCGCAGTGGAATACACAGCTCTGCGTCTCCTTAAAAAAGTCAATTTGTGTGATTAAACCGAGGCTTATGCGTAGGCTTGATGTAATGACTTTTTTCCTGCTTCGGTCAAATTAACGTCGTCATCTCCCCACTGAGTTATTAGACTATCAGCACTCACTCATCCATGATCAGAGGGAGCTTGATACTCAATACAATCACTACTTTATAGGAATGTCTCCCCTTTGAGAGCCAAACAGAAGCTGTTTTCAGACATGAACTTCAAAGAGTGTCCACGCAATCGGGTCCAGATGATCTCCGGAGTTGGCGTGTCACACATGAACAACCCAGCAGGAGGTTCTTCACTCAGACTTGCATGTATTGTTTACATTGACACCAGCATCGGACCCTTATCTCCAAAGGCTCTCTTGACATCTTCGTTGGTGTCTTCTATGTGTATGGCACAGCTTTTTCATCCTGAGATATTTGTATTCTTTTGTTTTTTTTATTTTTTTTTATCTTTGCATCTGTTGGGTTTTAAAAACGTCATCAAGGTGCCCATTCCCTCGCACTTAATACTGCGAAGGATCTCCTGCTGTGTTCTCACATGGGCTCATTCAGATATTTTCTGGAGTTCTTACTCGGGGCTGCTCGGAGAAACTCCGGAGGGAGTCTGGAGGCTCTCACTCAGAGAATGTCTTGAGATTATCGGAACATGTCTGAAAGCAGCTAGAGAATCATGTCCACATGTATGTCAACAAAAATACTCAAGTTCCCAAATGAAACAATGAGTACACAACATGCTCATATGTTGAGCTTGGTGTCACCTCTGCAGTGGTGTCGTCAGT